TGGGCTGGGAGCACTCGGATACGGGTCACAGAACCCTCCGCTGTTCTGTCTTGTATTTATTCGGGGCTTGGGGGCCACACCCAGAGGGGCTCAGGGCTTCCTCCTGCTGCTGTTCAGGGATCACTCCTGGCCACAGCTGGCCACAGGCAGGGCAAGAGCCTCCCTCCTGCACCAGGGCTCGGCCCCTTCTGTGATGCCTGTGACTGTCCCCTCAAGTCCCCAACACAGATGAAGGTTAGACCAGCTCAGATGTGTCCCAGGTCTTGTGGCCGCCCCATCTCCATTCCTCAGGAGACTCAGGCAATCCCTGGCGCTCCCAGCCTGACCCCCCGGGAGAGACCATGGGAGTCTGACCATGGGAGTCTCTGTTGGCCACGATGCTGTTACTATGGCAACTGTAGCAGCCCCTGCACTGCCTGCTGAGAAACCCCGGAGCAGAGAAGCCCGCGGGGTCCGGCTAGCGTATCCACGCCAGACCTCCCGCGTGCCCCAGTCCAGGGCGTAGGCCCTGGTGCTCGCAGTTCTGAGCCTGTCCACAGCAGCTGCACCTCTGGGCTCTTGCTCACCCCACTCAGGGCCCACGGGGGTCCCACAGGGCCATGGGCTTGGCTGTCCCAGTTGCTGACGGATGGGCTTCCTACCAGCCGGGGAAGGAGATGTTGGTGCAGAGAACGAAGCCCACTGGGCCGGGAATGAGATCCAGGGTGCCCCTATCTGTGCTGCTCTTAAGAGGCCAGGGGCTGGTATCTCCCCGGAACATGCTGAGGCAGGGGGGGCACTGCCCCTTCCTTGATTCTCCTGAATCACTCGTCCCCCCCGCCCCCATCACCAAGATGGACAAAAGGTGCCTGAAACCTCACCGTCCTAATCCAGACTCTGGCTGCCTGGAAGGAGGATGGGAGGATTTTTGTTTAGAGGGAGCACCACCCATGCAGAGGCAAGGTAGGGCCGGGGTGGCCCTTCAGGGTTCCCAAGTCCGTGCGTGTCCACTCTGCAAGAGAGACAGGACCTGAGGGCAGAGAGGGCGGGCACGGGGCTGGTGACAAGTCAGACCAGGCGGTGGCAAACCACACATGAAGCAAAGCAAGAACATTAAATATTTGCACTCTGAGCAGTTGTTCATCTGGGCAGGATGGGGAGAAGGCTCTGTGTCCGGAGGGATCTGTGCTCAGCACAGGGGGCTCCAGAGACCCATCACTGGACCCTGTGATTGTCCGGGCAAAGCCACTAGGGATGGGGGACCAGAGGCGCCCGCCTCTGGTGAGAAGCCCAAGTTGACCGACTCTGAGTGACCGAGGGACTTTGGTGGAGGGGTTGGTCTGTCAGTGCTTGGCTTGTTGTTTTATTTGATACTGAGCAGGAATTTGGGGAAAGGAACATCTCACAGTTTTAATCAAAACCTGAAGTGATTGTGGTTTAGACCCAATTGGGACAGTCCTCAGAAGACGGGAGGATGAGTATCTTCTACTCAGAGGGAGGAGAAATGATATATATTCTTTTACATTTTTTGGGGTGTGTTTTTCGGCCAGCACCTGGCTCTGCTCAGGGATCACTCCTGCAGGAGTCTCAAGGGACCCTCTATGGGGCAGGGGCACGAACCTGTGTTGGTCACATGCAGAGCAAACTCCTTCCCGCAAGACTGTTACTCTAGGCCCTGGTTGGCAACTCTGAACAGTAGGAAAGTTACGGCTTCATAGAACTCAACAATAGAGACAGTCTAGGTCTGATCAGAAGCCAGCACAGACTTGGTCAAATGCCAGAATGTATTTTAGCTGCTCATCAAGATAAAAACAGAAAAGTGAGGTAGATTAGTCTCATACTAGATTTTTTTAATATCCACAAATGAATGCAGTCATTCTATGTCTGTCCCTTTTCTTCTGACTCATTCAGCATGATACTCTCCGTGTCTATCCATTTATAAGAAAATAGAACAAGGCTGTGTGTGTGTGTGTGTGTGTGTGTGTGTGTGTGTGTGTGTGTGTGTAAGGAGGGGAGGGGTGGACGGCAGTTGGGATAGAGAGAGGACCTCTATGACAATGCTAGTTGGAAATGACCACTCTGGACAAGAACTGGGTGCTGAAAGGAGGGAAGGGATATATATGATAACCTGTCAGTATCAAACCATAACGGCTAGAAGGAGAGAGATAAGGAGCTTGAAAGAGAGAGAGAGAGAGAGAGAGAGAGAGAGAGAGAGAGAGAGAGAAAGTGGGTGAGAGAGAGAGAGGGAGAGACAGAGAGAGGAGAAAAGTGTCTGCCACTAGAAGCGGGCTGGTGGGGGTCAGAGTGATAGTACAGCTGGGAGGGCATTTGCCTTGTAAGCAGCTGACCCCGGTTCGATCCCCGGCATCCCAGATGGTCCCCCAAGCACCGCCATGAGTAATTCCTGAGTGCAGAGAAAGGAGTAACCCCTGAGCATCGCTGGGTGTGACCCGAAAATTCACTTGATCACTTGACATCCCGTTACTCATCGATTTGCTCGAGCTGGCACCAGTAACGTCTCCATTTGTCCCTGTCGCGTGCTGGTGTAGCCCAATGGCGTCTGCTCGTTCTAGGAACACAAAGAGCCTCAAAATTTAAAAAATTTAAAAAATTTTAAAAATAAATAAAACATTTATAAAAAAGAGAAGTGAGCTGATGGGCGGGGGGTCTGTCGTTGGCAGGAGGGAAACTGGGAACATTGGTGGTAGGAAAGATGCACAGGTGAAGGGAGAGGTGTTGGGACACTGTATGACTGAAACCAGGTCACGAACCACTTTGTAACTGTGTATCTCAGAAATTCAATAAAGAAATTTTTTAAACTCTTTTGTTGGCTTCTTACCCTTTCTGTGGAAGGTGCCCATTGGAGAAAACAGGAGAAAGAATGACATTTAAAAGCTGAAAGTCCATTGTAACCATATTTCTTAAATGACTTAAGAATAAGATTCTTTTAAATACTGAGAAGGGGAGGTCAGATAATATTATTTGCAAAGGGCACAGTGCAGAGACTACTCCAGAATAGAACTATGAAAACCTATTAAAACCAATGTAAGAAATCAGCAGAAAGACAAATAAAAAACTCTAATAGACTCAAGTGAGTTTTATAAGAGAGAATGACATAATGTCTCATTTATAATGTCAATAGAAAAAAAGGCCAATTTAAAAATTAAATATGCCAAACACACAAAAAGCCTCAATTTTTCTTAAGGAGCTAAAAAGGGAAATTTGTGTGTACGTATGTATGTATGTGTGTGTATTCTTTTTGTTGTTGTTGTTGTTTGCTTTTTGGGTCACACCTGGCAGTGCAAAGGGGTTATTCCTAGCTCATGCACTCAGGAATTACTCCTGGCAGTACTTGGGGGACCATATGGGATGCTGGGAATTGAACCCGGGTCAGCCACGTGCAAGGCAAATGCCGTACCCACTGTGCTATCGCTCCAGCCCCTGTGTGTGTATTCTTATAGGAAAAACTCATAAGGGCCAGGAGAATCGCTCCACGACTTGGAAGCCGGGCTCACATGCTGGGAGAAAAGGCAGCTGGGATAGAGAAAAGACCACCAAGTCAATGATGCCAGGAGGGCTTGCTCAGGATGGGAGATCATGCTGAAAGTAGACTATGGACCAAACATGGTGGCCACTTACTACCTGTATTGTAAGCCATAACACCTGAAAGGAGAGAAAGAGAGAGAGAGAGAGAGAGAGAGAGAGAGAGAGTAAAAGGGAATGTGCCTGCCACAGAGGCGGGGGGCAGGGCAGGGGAGATAGGATGGGGTTGGTGGGAGGGATACTGGGAACATCAGTGGCAGAGAATAGGCACTGGTGGAGGGATGGGTATTCGATCATTGTATGACTGAAACATAATCACAAAATCACAGATTTGTAAATCTGTAACTGTGTCTCAAGGTGATTCATTAAAAAATAAATTAAAAAAAAAGAAAGTAACACCATAGAAAATAATAATAATAATAAAACTGGGGCTGGAGCAATAGCACAGTGAGTAGGGCTTTTGCCTTGCACATGGCCGACTCGGGTTCGATTCCCAGCATCCCATATGGTCCTCTGAGCACCGCCAGAAGTAATTCCTGAGTGCAAAGCCAGGAGTAACCCCTGAGCATTGCTGGGTATGACCCAAAAAGCAAAAACAAACAAACAAACAAATAAATGAATAAAACGAACTAAAGTTTAAAAAAAAATAAAGATAATATTTTAAGAATGAATGTACTGCTTCCTAATTTGATTAGAGTGCAACAGAATTTATTCCCTTAAGCTGACAAGTGGATCCGGAAAAAAGTAAGCACTTGTGATCCTTCAGGCCAAGTCCTGAAAGATACGGAGTGGGAGAGTGTTCAGGACTGGCTTGGGGAGACAGGTAAGGCCTTCGGAGGAGGGATGTTTATTAGAGCATCCGAAGTCCCCCCCCAACCCAGGAGAACTAACAATGACTCAGCACCTCATTCACCCACAGACCAGTAACGACTCCATGGAATGTAGGGCCCACATGGGTTTCAATCTTGCCGACAAGGGGTCACATTTGGGTTGACGATTCTTCCAGCAGGTTTTATAGCCAGGGACTGTAGGAATGCCCCGGACCCCCCAAATAAGGCACGTGCTAACTCAGGAGCCCGGGGCCCTCAGCTAGGTCCTGCCCTGGGTTTGCCACCTTCACACGGAGATGACTTTGCTGCTCATCTCCTGAGACACCAAAGGGAAAGTCATGTAAAGGCATTTGGGGATCAGGAGGGGAGGACTCGCATGCTTCAGTGACTGGCAATTCCTTGCTTCCTGAAAATTAAGGCAGTCCCTAAAGGAGGGCCGCTGTGAACAGAGCTGCCTGGGACTCCGGGTCTTGTCAATAGCGAGATGATGACGAGGCCTTGTATGTTGGTGAATGCCACAGCTTGGACCTGTTCTAAATAATCACGCCACACTCACCCTGCAGCCCCGCCCACCCCTAGCTCCCAGGATCCCCTACGCCCATCATCTCCCCATCAAAAACTTCCATGGAACAATTTCAGGCCATGAGAGAAGAGGAAAGGGAGGGGTTTATTTTGGACTGGAGCAAGCCCAGAGGAAAATCACACAGCTCGGGAAGTATCGTCGCTCAGGCCTCCTTCTAGTTCTCTGATGCATTTTGCTGTTAAAGGAAAGGAAAGGAAGTGAGACCCCCCAGTTCTGAGTCCCACGTTTCTCTCTGGAGGCTGCGGATCTGGAAAAATCACCCAGCCTGGACCCAGGGACCAGAGCATCTGTAGCGCGGCCAGCTGGGGTGAGGCCACAGAAAGAAGCTCAAGTCTCCTCCAGTGAAAAACCCGAGGGTCCTGGGGGAAAGGCTGCAGCCAGGACTGGACTCGGGCTGGTCTACGTGCGGGCAAAGAACCCGCCAGGTCAGAAGAGAAGGTGGCAAGGGCACAGGGCTGACTGTGAACACCCATTCTTTCTTTCATGCGTTCATCTGTCTGATCAATGAAAATGTGTCTCAAGTCTTGATTCGAGGTTACGGAATTGAATAAGGCATAGCTCCAATCTGCAGGAGGAAGGAAAGGAGAGAGGGAAGGAGGGACAAGGGAGGGCAGGAGGGAGGGAAGGAAGGGAGGAAGGAGGGAAGGAAGGAAGGAGGCAGGGAGGGAAGAGGAAAGGGAGAAAAAAGGAGGAAGGAAGGAAGGAAGGAAGGAAGGAAGGAAGGAAGGAAGGAAGGAAGGACAAAGGGAGGGAGGGAGGGAGAGAGGGAAGGAAGGAGGGAGGGAGGGAGGGAGAAAGAAATGAAGGGAGGGAGGGAGGGAAGGGGGGGAGACATTACAGCCTGTGAGGAAGGAGGTAGTTAGCGTCCAGCAAACAATGCACAGTTCCGGAGGTGTCCATGTGCCCACACCCTCAAACCCAAGGAAGGAGAGCCTGGGAAGATACATGAGCCAAACTCCTGGGAGAGTGTGTGCGTGTGTGTGTGAGAGAGAGTGTATGTTTGTGAGTGTGTGAGTTCGTGTGTGTGACTATATGCATGCATGTGTTTGTGAGTGGGAATGCGTATAAGTGTGAGTGCATGTATGTGTGACTGTGTGTGCACGTGTGTGTGAATATCTGTGTGTGATGTGTGTGGTGTGTGTATGTGGTCTGTGTGAGTGAGTGTGTGAGAGTATTGTGGGTGCATGTGTGTGAGCGTGTGTGGTATGAGTGCATGTGTATGCATTTGTGTGTGTATGAGTGCATGTGTGTGCATGTATGTGTGAGTGTATGAATGTGATGTGTGGGTGGTGTGTGTGAGAATGTGTATATATGTGAGTGTGTATATGTGAGTGTAGGTGTGTGGTGTGTGTGGTGTGCGTATGTGGTGTGTGTGGTGTGTGTATGTGGTGTATGTGAGTGGGTATGTGAGAGTATGTGTGAGTGTGTGAGTGTGTGTGCTATGTATACATGTGTGTGAGTATGTGTGAATGTTAGTGTGTGAGCATATGTGGTGTATATGCATGTGAGTGTATGTGTGTGAGTGTATGTGTGTGAGTGTGTGTGTGGTGTGTATGCATGCGAGTGTGTGTGAATGTATGTATATGTGGGTGTATGTGTGTGAGTGTGTGGTGTTTATGCATGCATGTGAGTGTGTGTATATGTGAGTGTATGTGTGTGTGATTGTGTATGTATATGTGAGTGTCTGTGTGTGAGTATGTGTATATATGAGTTTCTGCGTGAGTGTGTGTATATGTGAGTGTCTGTGTATGTGACTGCATGTGTATATGTGAGTGTATGTGTGTGATTGTGTGTATATGTGACAGTCTGTGCGTGTGAGTATGTGATTGTGTGTATATGTGAGTGTCTGTGTGTGATTGTGTGTGTATATGTGTCTGTGTATGTGAGTGTGAGTGTGTATATGTGAGAGTCTGTGTGTGAATGTGTGAGTATATGAGTGTGTGTATATGTGAGTGTATGTGTGTGAGTATGAGTGTGTGTATGTGAGTGTATGTGTATGTGATTGTGTATGTATATATCTCTGTGTGTGTGAGTGTGTGTATATGAGAGTGTGTGTGAGTATGTGTATATGTGAGTGAGTGTATGTGTGTGTGCATATGTGAGTGTATGTGTGTGAGTAGGTGAATGTGTATATATGTGAGTGTGAGTGTGAGTGTGAGTGTGTGTGTGGCGGGCAGTATTCAGTCCCGGGCTCCGAGCAGAGTGCAGCTGGGCCTCCTACAGGGGTGCCCGTGAGAGAAGCAGCAGGCTGACAGTTCTACCGGGCTGGGGCCAAGGGCGGTGAGGGGGGCTGAGAAGGGTGAGGAGACGTGGAGAGACCCCCGGGGGTCCCCTCAGCCTCCACCCACGGCCGGTCAGGCAGGGAGAGACTCTTCCCTGGGCATCTCTGGGCCTGGCCCGGGTCCTGGCCGCGGCTGGGACCACCATGAGCGGAGGCAGCTGAGAGGGTTGGGGGAGATGGGAGCCCTTGGGGTTCCTGGGCAATGGCCCCCCAAGAACCCTGGGTCTCAGCAGCCCCGTCAGGGCCCGGTGAGCGTGTCTGGAAACCCCCTTGCCTCCGCGCCAAGTGCCCATGAGGGGAGGAGAGGAGGAAGAGCACCAAGGGACGGGCCGTGTCGCCTCCTGTTTCTTTGCTCGGAGATGACAAGAGCAGAGCTGGGGGGCGTGAGAGCACCGTCTAGCGGAGTTTGTGGGCGGGGTGGGGGGTCACGTCCACCCAGGGCACCCCTCCAGGCACTCAGATCTCACCCACATGTGTGTGTGTCCATGCTCCCTTACCTCCAGGTAGTTAGTTACTCGGAGCGACCGTTCATCCTGGCTCGGAACTGCTGGTTCTGGAACCTTCTGTTCCCAGGAGGGAAGAGCCTTCTGGTGATCTCTGAGGAGGAAAGGGGAATGTGGTTCGCTGCTGTTTTTTTCCATGGGAGGGAAGACGGTGCCCAGGCCAGAGGGACAAGGGTGAATAAACCCAGCCCCAGGGAGACCCGTGAAGGCTCCCACTTCTCTCTCTGGCGTGAGGCTGAGCCTCCCCTGCTCATCCTTTTCCGTTGGGTGCGGGGCTTGGTCTTGGCCTCTGCCAAGAACCCTGGAGGGCAGAGCCTGGCTTAGCCACAACTGCCCAGTGCCTCTGACTCATGGCTGCTGAGTTCAGCTCAATTTTTCCCAAGCAATTTCCGAGAAGGCACCCGACCGCACCAGTGAGGCTCCCCAGGTGCAAACATTTTCAGAATTCAACTCTGAATTGACCTCCTGAGGGATAGCAACATGACCAGTGACACAGTGACTTTCCAGCCATGTGATAATTTTAGTTCCAATAGCGTCTTCCCAATGAGGTAGAACATCTCCGCGCCCACCTCCTGGGGGTCTGCCCACCCCTACCCCTTCCCACGTGGGGCCACGGGACAAAGCGAAGGTGTGGCCGTGAGTATCTTCATTGCTTCTGAAATTGATTCCAGCAACTGTCCTGGGTGCTCCTCGCACCCTCCTCCTGCTGTCTCTCCTCCCTACCTCAGAGAAACCTGGTATCACGGAAGCCAAGTAGCCGCAGGAAAGGCCCCTCTGAGAACCGGGAGCTCTTGCTCCACACCCATGAAGAACTGAGACCCACCAGCACCCCCGGAGGGACCCTGGGCAGGACCCTGGGGGCAGCTGAGCGACCACCTTTGATCACAGCCCGAATGACCCCATGCCAGGGATGCCCAGCCATGCTTCTGCTGATGAGAAACTCTGGGATAATGAAGATCTGTTGTTGGTGGCGCCCACATCTGGGAGTCACTGTGAGAGATAAGGAAGGCTGCCAAGTGGGGTGATTCGCGTCCATCATCTCGGTCTCCAGATGGCTGTTTCCAAAAGCAGTTCCAAGGATGACGTTTCCCCAGCAGGACAGAGATTCCACAGGATGGAGTTGGAATCTGCGCACAGTTCCCGAGGGGTCGTTCAGAACCGTCCTGGCCAGGGGCACGCGTTCCAATTACTAACTTCTCCCAGAGGGACAAGTTGGAGGAGATCTAACGCTTCGGTATTTGTTTTCAAATCAGGCCTCAAATGGTAAGCCCTGAGGTTTCAAAATTAATTGGAAAATGACGGGATCAGACACGGAGCTCAGAGATAACAGTTGCAGCTGTGGTATTTGTTTAAAGGGAGGTCTCTGCACAGACGGTGGGTTTCACAATCCTTCCAGGGAGCACTTGCCAAAAAAAAAAAAAAACCAACAGAGGGACTGGAGCAATAGCATAGCGGGTAGGGCTTTTGCCTTGCACGTAGCTGACCTAGGTTCAATTCCCAGCATCCCATATGGTGCCCTGAGCACCGCCAGGAGTAATTCCTGAGTGCATGAACCAGCAGAGCCTGGCAGAGCCTGGCAAGCTACCCATGATATATTCATATGCCAAACACAGTAACAACAAAGTCTCCAATGGAGATGTTACTGGGCCCGCTCGAGCAAATCGATGAACAGCGGGAGGACCGATGAACCAGCAGTAACTCCTGCGAATCGCCAGGTGTGACCCAAAAAAGTAAAACAACAACAACAATAAAAAATCAGAGACATTAGTGCCTGACGGATGCGTAGCAAAGTCCTCTCTGGGTCAAAGTCTCACCCAGGCTGCATAGTCAGGGGACAGTCATGACCGAGCTTGGCTTGCGTCATCAATGACAGAAAGAAACGCAGAAAGGACTGCCAGGAAAGTTGTGTAAGTGTCACCAGCACTTGGGCTGGTCAATGATTTCTTCTATACGAGCAGGCAAGACCCAGTGGACATCGTCATGGCATGAAGATTGAGATAGAAAAGGTTCCGTAAAAGAGGAATTGACTCGCAGTTCATTTTATCTGCATATAGTCAAGTGGAAAGGAAAGGGCAGGGTGGGAAGGAAAGGACTTGGGCTTTTCAGAAAATGCCCGAAGACGGAAGAAGAAAAGTCAAATCTAACTTCCTACAGCTCATTGGACGTTTGACTTCCGGGTCTCTCAAAGGGCTGCAGCCCTACAGCCTCCAGGTTGCCTGGCTTAAAAGCTCCAAGAGGGTGGGGGGCGGGGCTGGAGCAATAGCCCAGAGTTTAGGGTGTTTGCCTTGCATGTGGCTGACCCAGGTTCAATTCCCAGCATCCCAGATGGTCCCCCGAGCACTGCCAGAAGTAATTCCTGAGTGCATGAGCCAGGAGTAACCCCTATGTAATGCCAGGTATAACCCAAAAAGAAAACAAACGAAGCTGTGAAACAAGTCAGTGCAACGTTATTTTCCTTGGCCCTTATGTCGTTTGTATTTGGGAGTTTCCTTCCCTGGGAAGCGGATTCCACAGCTCAGGAAAGGGTCTGCAGTGTCCCCCTACAGAAGAGACCAGAGCCGCTTACCGTGGGACCGCTCAGGAATGTATCCACTTTGCAACTGGTCCGGAAAGAGACCTGGAACACAGGAGGACCAGAAATCAAACGAGGCCCCCTGTACACTTTGGGTCTGTTCTGGGTTTGATTATAGATGCTTCAGTTCTGCCTCTAAAATGAGAGAACCGGGGCCGGAGCGATAGGACAGTGGGTAGGGCATTTGCCTTGCACATGGCCGACCAGGGTTCGATCCCCAGCATCCCATATGGTCCCCCAAGCACCACCAGGAGTCATTCCTTAGTGAAGAACCAGGAGCAGCCCCTAAGCATTGCTGGGGGTGACCCAAAAAGCAAATAAAATAAATTAATTAATTAAATGAGAGAAACATGAAGGATCAACCAGAGTTTGCAGCCACCAACTCCAAGAGCCTCAATGACCAATTCGCTCCTAGGCATAGCTATGGGCACTAGAGCAGATAAGACCCAACCTTGCAAAGTGGCCCAGAAGGGAGGCTCCACAGAAGGGAGAATTGGGACAAAATTGGCAAGAACAGGGTGTCAGCACCAGGTGTCCGGTCTTGAGCCTCACTCGACCTCCTGGTCACATGAGAGCAAGACACAAAAACTGTCACATACGCTTAGCAAGTCATCCTAACTGCAGCAACTAGTCCTGGGTTGGGATTGGACAGGGGCAAAGCAGAGTTGGAAAGGTAATAGGGCAACAGTGCTAAACTTTCTGTGATTGCACCCCTGCTGTCAAGCCGAGACACTCTATAAAATATGTTTGTAGCACTGTCGCACTGTCCTCCCGTTGCTCATCGATTTGCTCGAGCGGGCCCAGTAACGTCTCCATTGTGAGACTTGTTGTTACTGTGTTTGGCATAGCGACTACATCACGGGGAGCTTGCCAGGCTCTGCCGTGTGGGTGGGATACTCTTGGTAGCTTGCCGGGGCTCTCTGAGAGGGGTGGAGGAATCAAATCTGGGTTGGCTGGGCTGGACGCATGCAAGGCAAATGCCCTATAACTGTGCTATCCCTCCAGCCCAATATGTTTGTATGTGGCACTAAAGTGAACCGCCATCAGCTGCTCCCAGGGGGTGTTTTCTCCACACACCCATCATCCTTTGGCTCGCATCTGCCCAGACGTGGTGTGCAATGCATTCAGGTACCATTGGGGAAAACTGTTCGCCAACACTAAGCCATACAACACAGGCCCAACCTCGCTCCAATACGACCATCGAGGATGGCAGAGAAGAACGGCTTTGATCCACTCCCCACCCATCCCACCTCGGACTTCTAGGGGAGGCCAGGTCTCAATTTCTGTAGGATTCCAGATTTCAGCCTCAGTTCACCTTATGAGCTCAATCTCTGTCCACCCAGAATCACATGGGGGGAAGGGTGATGGGTCACGTGCCCAGGAGGGAGCCGGGTTGGCAAATGGGAACCAGTTCTGAGGGGAGGAAGGGTCAGGGAAAAACAGCTGCATAGGTCAGAGGTGTTGGAGCCCGGCTGGACTTGTGTCTTGACAATAACGGGCCACCGGAAGGAACATTGTTCGGGGGAGAAGAAAGAAGCCAAGGTCAAGGGTTATTTTCTCCAGTTTCTAGGATTGCCCAAACGGTTTGGCTGAAACCATTCTTCATGGCACATGGCTCACCAGCATGAGCTCAGGATGAAATTGTTTCAAGAAAATAACGTTTAAAAAATAGGAGACTTAACACCCAAGAATGTCCCAGATTAGTACCAGGAATTTTACTCCATGGCTTGGAGGCCAACCACAGGTGCTAGGGGAAAAGGGAGCTCAGATAGAGAAGGGAGCACCAAATGAAGGGTGTTGGGAGGATCCTCCCAGGATGGGAGAAGCATGCTGAGAGTAGACTATAGACCGAACAGGATTGCCACTCAATGCCTCTTTTGCAAACCACAACACCCAATAAGAGAGAGAGAACAAAAGGGAATGCCCTGCCACAGAGGCAGGGTGGGATGGGGGGGATGGGAGGGTGGGAGGGATACTGGGATCCGTGGTGGTGGGAAATGGCCACTGGTGCAGGGATGGTGTTTGATCATTGTATAATTGAAACCCAAGCACAAAAATTTGTAAGTCTACAACTGTACCTCATGATGTCTCACTAATAATAAATAAATAAATAAATAAATAATGTTTAAGGGGCCCGAGTGATAGTACAATGATAGTCCGAGGCTCAGGCATGATGCTCAGAGAAATATTTGCATCCATGGTATTCATTTAAAGGGAGAAATCTGAACATAGGACGTTTGCCTTGCACACAGCTGAGCAGGGTTCGATCCCCAGCATCCCATGTGGTCCCCTGAGCACTGCCAGGAATAATTCCCAAGGGTAGAGCCAGGAATAACCTTTGAACCCTTGAGCATCCCTGGGTGTACCATTCCCCCCCGCCAAAAGCACCTTGAAAAAAATCTCAACTTACCAGGTTGATAATGTCTTCTCCATTTAAAGGATCCCAGTGAGTCCCCAAAAACTCTCTGGGTAAGTGTGAACATCAACAGGTTTGGGTGCATGAAAGAGAAAAGAAATGGAAGGATGTGATAAAATGTTAGAACAGAGCAGAAGCGAGAGCACAGGGACAAAAGTGCTTGTCTGGCACACAACTGACCCCAGCTCCAAGCCAGGCACTGCATCAGGTCCCACCAAGTCTGATCCCTGAGCACAGAGCCAGGAGTAAGTCCTGAGCACCATCAGGCGTGGCCCAGGTGAAAGCATTATCCAGGGGTGCTCAGATGTCTTCTCTGAGCCGTGTTTAATGATAAAGGCAGCTGGCGTTAAATAACTGTGTGGTGTCACGTGAGAGCCCAGGACCGCTTGGCAAGAGGAACTGACCCCGCGTTTATATTCCCATGATTGTAAAGCTTCCCTGAAGGCTGATGCCTCCACGCTGTGGGCCAGAAAGGCTGAGTCCTTCCATGCACTTGCAAACAGATTGTTCAGGTGAAATTCTGGAGATTTCTCCCCAGGAGTTTCCCCAAATGGGCACCCTGGGAATGAGGTCTGCTGAGTGGTCTTCACAAGGGCCCTAGAAGTTCACGTAAAACTTCATCCACATGAAAACACACTATAGGGGGCCGGAGTGATAATACAGCAGGTAGGGGTGTTTGAGTTGCATGTGGCCGACCTGGGTTCGATTCCCAGCATTCTGTATGGTCCCTGAGTACCGCCAGGAGTAATTCCTGAGTGCAGAGCCAGGAGGAACCCCTGAGCATCAAAAAGCAGAACAAACAAACAAACAAACAACAACAACAATAAAAAACACACTGCAGATGCTCACGATCACAATCACGATCACCATCACGATCATCCTGTTGTTCGTCGATTGCCTCCAGCAGGCACCAGTAACGTCTCCTTCACCCTAGCCCTGAGATTTTAAAAAGTGCCGTATTCAAGGCTCTTTCAGGGTTAGGAGAGTGAGACCTGTCATTGTTACTGGTATTTGGGTTATTGGGTACGCCACGGGGAGTTTGCCAGACTCTGCCGTGTGGGCAGGGTCCATTCCGTAGCCGGCCAGGTTGTCCAAAGTAAGCAGATGCTCACAGCATTCGTTTTTCCCCAAGGTCACAAGCCCCACCCCCAGGGACTGGTGTCCTGCCGTGAAAATGAGCTGGCACCAGAGACCCGGTAGCTAAACCTTCCCTGCCAGGTGCTTGGATGGAAAATAACCTGACCTCACCTAGCCAGGAAGGCCCAAAAAGGCCCGCCAGGAGATCTGGGGGTGGACTAGGGGAGGCGAGGCTAGAGAGGGCTGAGGACCAGCATGATCAGTGTCCAGGATTTAGACAGTGCCCAGACCTGTGTGCCAAAAGCCACTGAAGTGTCCGTGTTCGAAGGTGTCAGGTGAATGGCGTTCCGGTAAAGGGAGGATGGGTGACCTCAGCTGGGCTATTGGGAACGAGAGCAGACACGTGACTTACGCAGAGGCAGTGGGAGGGGAGCAGAGATTCCGTGCCCCAGGGAGTCAAGCCCAGGGGCTCAAGTGCAAGAGATGTCTCTGCTGGAGAGAGATAAACACCCCATCCAGAGGGGCTGCTGGCCTTGCTTTCAGCGGCCAGGAGAAAACTCTGCAGGAAGTGGGGGTGGGGGGAGGGAAGGGTGGGGGAGGGAAGGGCGGGTGGTGGATGGCACCCTTTCTCCCAGCTCTCCCAGTGCCCAGGAGCCCTCACCTGGCACCAGGCTCTGCTTGTGCTCCCAACTCCTGGTGCGCCCCCAGGGAGTCAGTCACGGGCCCTCACTGCCCTGTGCTGGGCTCAGTTCTCCAGTGACCCGTCAGGACTCTGTGGGGCTCTGGCTGAGGCCTCAGACACACACACACACCCGTCCACTGTCCACTTCGAGGCAGTGCGCCGCCAAGCTCCCTTGTCCATCTGCAGCCGGGACACTGCTAAGTAGGCCCCAGCTGGAGGGCTCTTACCCACTGCTTAATGTTGTCAAGCTCAAAGCTTAGAGACCTGCAAAGATTCCTTCCAAGCCCTCTCAAGAATCCTGTAATTCAGAAGAGAGGGAGAAACAGGCGGAGACTTAAAGTTCATCCCTCAAACTCTGAACAGGCAACAGGAAAAACACAGTAGGAAGCAGCTCTTAACCATTGCTGGTGACAGAAATGTGAGATTACAAGCATGAGAGGCAGTAGGCCAGGATGAATTTAAGTTCAGAGATCCCCAGCACCCCTGTAGGGTCCCCTGAGCACAGAGACAGGAGTAAGTCCGAGTACAACCAGGTGTGGTCCAAAGACAAAAGAGAAGGAAGGAAGGAAGGAAGGAAGGAAGGAAGGAAGGAAGGAAGGAAGGAGGGAGGGAGGGAAGGAGGGAGGGAGAAAAAGAAAAAAGAAATAAAAAGAGAAAGAGAAAAAGAAAGGAGAGAGCGTGAAAAAAAGAAAATGGGAGAAGAAGGAAGGAAGGAAGGAAGGAAGGAAGGAAGGAAGGAAGGAAGGAGGGAGGGAGGGAGGGAGGGAGGGAGGGAGGGAGGGAAGAAGGAAGGAAGGAAGAAGGGAGGGAGGGAGGGAGGGGAGGGAGGGAGGGAGGGAAGGAGGGAGGGAGAAAAAAGAAAAAAGAAATAAAAAGAGAAAGAGAAAAAGAAAGGAGAGAGTGTGAAAAAAAGAAAATGGGAGAAGAAGGAAGGAAGGAAGGAAGGAAGGAAGGAAGGAAGGAAGGAAGGAGGGAAGGAAAGGAGGGAGGGAGGGAGGGAGGGAGGGAAGGAGGGAGGGAAGGAGGGAAGGAGGGAAGGAGGGAAGGAGGGAGGGAGAAAAAGAAAAAAGAAATAAAAAGAGAGAGAAAAAGCAAGGAGAGAGAGCATGAAAAAAGAAAATGGGAGAAGAAAGAAGGAAGAAAGGAAGGAAGGAAGGAAGGAAGGAAGGAAGGAAGGAAGGAAGGAAGGAAGGAAGAAAGAATAAGAATCACAAACACCACCCAGGAACTCAAATATCTACTTGGTTCAGGCAAAGAGCATATTAGCGAACTGTAACATGCTTTTTCTCTACGTTTCTTTACAGCATTAATGACTTTTACACTATGTCAAGGTAAGTTAAACTTCTCATATTCAAGAAAATTTCCCCATGTTCTTTCCAGATATGGTCCATTAGCAACAAATACTTATCAGTCATATAGTCTCATATTTTTTCAAGCAGTCTTTATTTCTGCTATTCTGGGCACTTTGGAAGGTCTTATTTTTTTCTATTTTCTACTTCCAACAACAATTTATTTGTCGTGTGTCTAAATTCATCCTGGCCTACTGCCTCTCATGCTTGTAATCTCACATTTCTGTCACCAGCAATGGTTAAGAGCTGCTTCCTACTGTGTTTTTCCTGTTGCCTGTTCAGAGTTTGAGGGATGAACTTTAAGTCTCCGCCTGTTTCTTCCTCTCTTCTGAATTACAGGATTCTTGAAAGGGCTTGGAAGGATTCTTTGCAGGTCTCTAAGCTTTGGGGAACCACACTCTGGGACACTTTTTTTAAAAATGTATTCTGTTGGTTTCGGGGGTTAATTTGAATTCATCGTTGCATCTTCTTGCGGGGTCTTCACCATGCAATTAGAAGGTTGACATGGGTCTCTGGGGATGGAGTCGATGGAGTCCCAGATCAGGGGGCGTTTGTGGAGCCGGCTCAATGGGTATGACTGGGTGAACAGACCCCTGCGGCTCTCACACTCCTCAGCTGCGTGTCTCACACCCTGCTGACCCTGCCTTGCTAAGTTTCCATCTGTCCTTCCTCCAATTCTGCATCGCCCAGGCTGCCAGCCTCTGTCAAAGGCCCCATGGCCGTTCGGATCCACCGGGACTCCTTGACTTCACCCCCACGTCCTCTCCCGACCCAGCTGCCACAACTCCTCACCCAGCCCTTTCGCCCTGTCCTGAAATTTCCTGGCTTCACTCTTCAAGGATTTCTGTCTGGGAGGGACCACTAAGTCAATGATGGTTGGAGGGATCGCTCAGGATGGGAGATGTGTGCAGAAAGTAGACTAAGGACCAAACATGGCGGCCTTTCAGTATCTGCATTGCAAACCATGATGCCCCAAAATAGAGAGAAAGAAGGAAACTTCCTGCCATAGAGGCAGGGGGGTGGGTGGGGTGGGGGTGTGGGAGGGATACTGGGGACATTGGTGGTGGGAAATGTGCTCTGGTGGAGGGATGGGTGTTCGATCATTGTATGACTGAACTTCAGTCATGAGAGCTTTGTAACTATCTCACGGTGATTCAATTTTAAAAATTCTTTAAAAAAGAGAATTTCTGTTCAGTTCAGCCCACTAGCCTCTCCGCCACTGAGGGTGGCCCCTCCTGGTCCCCTCCATGATCAGATGCTCCCTTCCTCCCTCTGTCCCCTCGGTTCTAATATCCTCCATCTACCGTCCCTGCTGAGCTCCAAGTTCTCCAAACAAGCTACATGCTCACACCAAAATTATGACATCACCACATGCTCCCCAGAGCCCCCCCAACATCCAGGGGCCATCCTGTTAAAGGGGTGTCCTCCCGTTCCCTCATCTGTAATCCCCACAGGGATCTCGACTGTCCTGGTCTGGGTTCCAGCTGCGATCAGCCTTTCCCGAACCCTCAAGCCACCTTGGGGGCAGCGTAGCTGGGAGCATCCCCTGAACCTGGTTCCCTGAGCAGGCTAGACTGAACAGGCTCCAGGGGGTTGGACCCCAAACAGGACCTTCCACAGCAACCCAAACAGGACCCAGTTAGGGCAGTTCCACAGCGAGCCCAGAATGTCAGCATGGCCCCATTTTCGGGAGAGAAGGAGTTCAGGAGTTCTGGATGCAGGGCCAGGGAGCACGGGGGAGTGGCCGAGTCCTCCCTCTCGCCCTGACCCTCCCCAGCTCTCCCTCTTCCAGCGACTTCCACCCCGTCCTCTCAGGTGCGGCTGTTCCTCATCAGAGGGCTCCTGTGCCCGCATAATTCTGGAAGCTGAGACTTGCTATTCTCTTTGCATATTTTTCAAACAATGGAATCTTGAAGATGAAATTAAAATTCGGCAGAAAAATGTGTCATTGGACAGATTCCGCTTTATACGGGCAGAAGGATTTTTAAGCACCTGTCAAGAATATTATTAACGCTGGTGAATAAAGAAAAATGGAGCAGTGATATTTTTTAGGGGGTGGGGAGAAGGGTTTCTCCCCAGTTGATGCTCAGGAAGCCCTGGGGAGGGAGGGAGGGAGGAAGGGAATAAGAGAAAGAAGGAAAGGAGGAAGGAAGGAAGGAAGGAAGGAAGGAAGGAAGGAAGGAAGGAAGGAGGGAAGGAGGGAGGGAGGGGGGAAGGGAGAGAGGGAGGAAGGGAGGGGGGAAGGGAGAGAGGGAGGGAGGGAGATGATGAACTCCAGGAAGGAAGAAAGGAAGGGAAGGAGGGAGGGAGGGAGGGAGGGAGAAAAGAAGGAAGGAGGGAAGGGAGGAGGAGTGAGATAGGGAGAAAGGGAGGGAGGAGGAAGGGAGGATGATAGGGAGGAAGGGAGGACGATAGGGAAGAAGGGAGGATAGGGATGGAAGGAGGAGGGAGGGAGGGAGGAGGGAGGGAGGGACCTTGAGCCGTAGATGCCGTAGGTGGAAGGAGGACCCAGGTGAGTGTGTGGGGCTAAGTCACCCCCATCTCCGTCATGTCCTGGCGACTGTGTGGTGCCACTCAGCCATTCCTGGCCCCCGCCAGAACAGAGGACACTGTCCCAAAGGACACCTACCTCCTCGCTGCTGGATTCCGAGCTGGAGGCCCAGTGACAGCGGACCCAGACGCCCCGCACCTGCTCCTTGGACATCTGCACGGTGCTCCTGCACTCCGCCGCCTGCTGGGAGAGAGAGCCAGGCTGGAGCTGGGGCCACCCAGGAAGGAGCCAGGTGTTGGGGGGCGGGTCCTGGGGGTCCTCGCGCAGGGAGGAGCCCGGGTCTCTGTCTCTTGAGACAGAAACCCCGTGGCACTGGGATTCCTTGGGAACCAGACTTCGAGGGGAAAGGCCCCGAAACACACACGCGCCTCTGACCCCCATGGGTCAGCCCAGAACTGAGCATGCCCCATGCCTCAAGGCCCCACGATGCTTCCCTGGGGTGTCGGAGCTGGACTCGCCCCCACGCCCCCACAGAGCTGCTGGGAGTGGTGGGAGTGGTGGGCGGGGGTCCAGAACTGCTAGTCTGCAAGGGGGGAACACAGTGTCACACCCTTCGTGTCCCCTCCAGCCCCTGCAGGTCACAGGTGACATTCTGAAGCTCTGGGTGGGGCAGGAGGTGGGGGTGGGGCTCAGAGGGGCAACCCGAGAGTTTCTGCACTGCTGCCCTTGGTGTTGGCTTTCCAGAGATGCTCTTTATCCCCATCCTTAAGAAGGGGAAACTGAGGCATGGCTGCCATGAAGACCATGGAGCCCCACCCGCTGGGCGACACAGCCCCTGCCAGGGAGCAGGAGGCAAGCTTCTGGGGGATCACCAACCTGCTCCGTGCTGAAGAGGACAAGGGGCCTCTCCTGTGGGTCCCTGGGGCCCCCTCACCTCGCTGTGGCCCCTGGGTGAGGGTCTGGGCCCCCCACCTCCTCACCTCGCGGTGGCCCCCTTGCAGGTCACAGGTGTCGGGCTCAGCGCCCGAGTCTCTCCTGCACACGGTCTCCCGGATGCGGAACTCGAGCTCCAGCGTGACACTGTCCTCACCCTGGACGTTCACCTGCATGGAGACAGGTGTCAGTGGGTCCCTCTGCCCCACTCAGAGCTGCAGACCCTCCCGGAGAGACGGTGCCTACCAGAGCTTGCACTGACACACCCAGCAATGAGGAGACAGGCCGAAGGCCCCGTGACACACCAGGGCTACACAGCCGCACACAGACGCCAGCCCAACTCGGGACCAGAGTCTATGTCTGCAAAGGGACCTGCTCGGGTGGGTTTATTCATAGCACAGCACACACACACACACACACACACACACACACACACGGGTTTATTTATAGCATGCGTGTGCAAACACACACAGAGAGACACACACAGACACACAGACACACACAGATACAGATAGAAATACAGACACATACACAGATACACCCAGACACACATACACAGACACACACACACAGACATGCATGCACACACACAGAGGGGGTTACTTATAGCGTGCACTCACAAACACACACAGATACACATACACAGACACACACACAGACACAGACGGATATACACACAGACGCACACAGATACACCCAGACACACACAGAGACATGCAAGCACACACACACAAGGGTTTACTTATAGCATGCACGCACAAACACACACAGATACACATACACAGACGCACACACAGACACACAGGCACAGACACACAGACACAGACAGATATATACACAGACGCACACAGATACACACAGACACACACAGACATGCAAGCACACACACACAAGGGTTTACTTATAGCATGCGTGCACAAACACACACATTCAGAGACACACACAGATACATATACATAGACACACAGACAGACATAGATAGACACACACAGATACACACAGACACATACCGGCACGCACACAGACACACACAGACAGACACACACAGATACAGACACATAGATACACACAGCCACACACAGAGACATGCACACACAGACCTGCATATGCACACATGCACACACACACACACACACAGACACACACTCAGGACAGTCCTGGCTATCAGTGAGATCCTGCGGTGGCCCTGCAGCCCTGTTCCCTGGCCTTGCTCCCGCCATCTGATCCAGGCTCTTCTGCCATTCGGCCTGGGGCCACGTGTTGTGCCTCTGTTCCTGGCGCTGGGGCTTTGGTAGGTCAGAGGGTCTCTAGGGTCGTGCTGAGACCTCCCTGCGAAACCGGGATGCACCCTACAGGGTCCAGCCGAGGGGGAGGGGAAGTGCCCCCCTGACACCACCTCTGTGCTGGATCACACCATTCCTGAAGCTGCTTCATCAGTTCCGACATCTGTGTTCTTGTGCTCCTAGTCACCAAGGGAGGGACCGGGGGCAGGGACAACCTCCAGGCTTTCTGATGGCTCATGAGTTCCAGGATCTTGATTGTCCCACCTGAGTCCAGTACCAGGACCAGAAGGAGAAAGCCACCACGCAGCATAGCTTCCCGTGGGGCCACAACACCAGGGAAACATTCAAGAAAACCCAACAATGATGGACCTGGAGAGTGTCATGCTGGTGATATCAGTCAGGGGAGAAGGGCGGTCATAGAATGGTGGGATCGTGTCTGTGGGATACGAGACACACAGGATAAGACCAACTCCCCAGGACAGTAGAGGCGAGGGCCAGGAGGACTGGCCCTTAGTAGGAAACACCCCAAGGGGAGAGGGCAGTTAGGACAGAGAAAGGGCCACGAGGACAATGATAATTGGAAATGGTCGCTCTGGACCAGAACTGGGTGTTGAAAGGAGGTAACGTGACATGCACGACCCCCTTCCAGTCGCAGTATTGCTAACCACAGTGCCCAGGAGAACAAAAAGGACGACAAAATAATGAGAGGGGAGAAATGGTCTCCCAAGGAGGAGGGCTGGTGGCGGGGCCGGGAGGAAAACTGGGGACCTTGGCGGTGGGATATATGAACTGGTGAAGGGTCAGGTGTGGGGACATTATATGGCTGAAGCTCAATCATGAACAACTTAGTTATCATGTTATCATTGAATCGGTCAGGGTGATTCAATAAAAGACAATGATAACAAAATTTAAAAAAAAATCAAGCAGGCCACCACTGAGGATGATGGTCTAAGTGAGCACGCATCATGGTCCGAGGTGGCAGGGAAGATAGTTCTTGACAAATCCTGAGGCAGGAGTGCTCAAGGATTACTGGGAGGCAGGAAGGGGCTCGTGGTACGAGGGAAGGCAGAGCCACCACCCCGGGCAGGACACACTGGGCTGCAGGGTCAGGATGAAGGCCATGCAGAGGCCGTGCTGCAGAGGTGACCATGGCTGTGTCACAACAGCCCGGCAGGCGTCTCTGCTCTGCCCTCCAACCAGGACCAAGGAGGCAGGTATGAAGCGGCATGGCTGGGCAGGGAACCCACAGAAAGAGGACCTGAGAGGTAGAGAAGCAAACGCAGCACCATGACAGGCTCACACAGCAGCCAGAAGCAGCTAGGCCTAGTTTCGCTTCCAGAATTCCTGGAATCGAGCACAGATACCTGGAATTGAGTCACGATTTCCCCGAAGTGAGAGAACCATGGTGAGGTCAACTAAGGGTTACCAATCAAGTGCAGGTAGGGAAGCCCCCCTATATAACCCTTAAGTAACCCTTACACAGCCCTTATAGAATCCAAATTATAACCAATCAGCTAAGTACAAGTAGTGAAAAGCCCCTCAGACTGCTGCCAAAAAGGTGGTCTGCAGAAAGCCCCTATTATATAATGTTATGGTATAAAAGCCCCTCACTTTTGAGACTCGGGGCCGCCCATTCTGAGGAGGCTGCCACTGTGTCGGTGAGCTGGACGAGGCCCTAAGCTCGAGCTTGTCAATAAAGACCCTCTGCTTATTGCATCGCAAATGTCTCCATGTGGTTTCTCTGGGGAGATCTTGGTCCGGTTTTGCAGATCCAGTTGGAGGAATACCAGAGGGGAGCTGGCCCCGGGCTAGTGCTTGAGCACCCCCGGGGAACCCCAAAATCTTCCCTGTCAGTTCCTGAGCCCACCTGATGGCAGAGTTAGCAGCGTACATGCCAATTATTGCCCAGTCAGGAGGGAGATGGCCACACGCCACCAGCAGACAGTCCCACACAGCACTGGCGAGGCCTGTTTGTGGAGCAGGAGCAGCTCCCGGCGGTGGTCGGGCCCTCGTGCCCCCACCCCAAGACCAGGTGAGGGGCACAGAGAGCAGCAGAGTCCCCCAGGAGCAGCAGGGCGACACCCAGTCGCCTCATACTTCTAATCTGCAAAATATCGAACGTCAAATCTGAGACTCTCCAAAAAAAGAAAGAAATCTCTCTTCCGCGAGTAAGATGGCAGTGTTGGCGTCTTTCTCTCCTGCACCCCACCCCTTGTCCTCCGTGCTTCAGCAATTCCCCTTAAAGCAATTTGATAGAAGCAAGGCAGACTGGCAACCCCAAAGTCTCATTAGCAAGATGAGAATGTGAGTCAGAAGGAGGAGGAGGAGGTGGAGGAGGAAAAGGAGGTGGAGGAGGAGGAGGAGGAGGAGGAAGGAGCTGGGGAAGAGGAAGAAGAGTTTGGGAGGAGGAAGAGGAAGAGGAGGGGGAGGAGGAGGTGGAGGAGGAGGGACTTTGGGAGGAGGAAAAGGAGGGAGTTTGGGAGGAGGAGGAGAGGAGGAGGAGGAGAAAGGAGTTTTGGAGGAGGAGGAGGAGGAGGAGGAGAAGGAAGAGGTGGAGGAGAAGAAGGAGGAGGGAGTTTAGGAGAAGGAGGAGAAGGAGGAGGAGAGGAGGAGGAAGGATTTTGGCAGGAGGAGAAGGAGGAGAAGAAGGAGGAGGAAGAAGAGATGGAAGAGGAAGAGAAGGAGGAAGAGAAGGAGGAGGAGGAGGAGATGGAGGTGGTGGAGGAGGAGGAGAGAGTTTGGAAGAAGGAGGAGGAGGGAGTTTGCTGACCCTGCTGTCTTTCTTGCATCTGGAAGCACTTTGAAGCGCTCTGCCAGAATCTGGAGAAAAAACCTGCATGTTTGGCTTGTGTCGGGGGAGAATCACTTCCAGCCAGTGAGTTTCCACTGTGTGGAGCCAAGAGGAAGAACAGCTTTGATGTCCAGCAACCTGGAGTCCACTGGGGTGCAGCTGCAGCCCAGCCTCATTGCTGGGACCAGTCGGGGCGCCGGCAGTCAGCATTACAGCCCAGGACTACGGCGTCCGAGTCAACATGTCACACCCACGGATGGAGAGAAGAAAGAGCCAGGAGACCCCCTCTATTTTATTTTTGGGTCACATCTGGCGATGCACAGGGGTTCCTCCTGGCTCTGCCCTCAGGAATTACTCCTGGTGGTGCTTGGGGGACCGTATGGGATGTTGGGAATCTAACCCGGGTCGGCCACATGGAAGGCAAATGCCCTCCCCGCTGTGCTATCACTTCAGCTCTGTCCTTTATTTTAAAAGAAAGGAGAATTTAAAGCAATTTAAAGGGCTTGTCCTCCGAGCGACACCAGTGGGTCATTTTAGTGTCAGCTCAGCCGGGCCAGGAACCTTCGTGTCTCCTGTTCTCACAGAAGTGGTTTGGGATGAGAGTAACGTTTCCGAGGGTGGAATCTGAATAAAGCAGATGCCTCCTCGGTAATGTGGTAGGAATTGTCCAAATGGGTTAAAGGCTTGGGGCTGGCTGGGGAGATAGTTCAGTGGGTAGGGCACTTGCCTCGAATGCAGCCAAGCCCTGTTTGGTCCCTGGCACGGCATAGGGTCCCCTGAGAACGTCCAGGGGACACTTGAGGGCCCACGTCCAGGAATGGCCCCTGAGCCCTGACGGGCCTGGCACCAAACCCTCCCCCACAATAGTAACAGAGACTGACAATGCCCCCCGCCTCCCCTCCCAGGAGTTCTTTTGGCAGACGGCTTTGCTCCCCAAGCAACAGCCCTCCCTGAGGGCCCCACGAGCATATGTGGGAGTCACCAAACCCCCACAGCAGAGTCAGTCAGTTCCTTGAATGACGTCTCTGCTCCACACTCTCCCACGAGAAACTAAGCGGGTCACAGGCAAGCAGACATTCACAGATGCAGGCGTAGAAGTGGACAGAAACAGATATGGAGACGTGTGTGTGTGTCGGCCTAAAAGCAGATGCAGGCCAGACCCAGACACAGACAGACAGAGATGGGCCAGGGCTAGTACAGACACAGTCGCACACACAGACACAGGCCTGGACATGGACACAGACACAAATGTGACTGGACTTAGTACAGATGCAGTTACTTCCACAGATGCAGTCACGCACACAAACACAGTTACACACACAGATGCAGTCACACACAGATGCAGTCACACACAGACACAGTTGCACACACAGACGCAGTCATGCACATACAGGCAGTAACACACAGACACAATCATGCACACAGATGCAGTTACACACACAGATGTAGTCACACACAGATGCAGTTACACACATAGACGCAGTCACTCAAACAGATGCAGTCACACACACACAGATATAGTCACTCACACAGATGTAGTCACACACACAGATGCAGGCCTGAGTTTGGACACGAACACAGACACAGATGTGGCCGGGTTGGTCCCTGTCTCTCTGCTGACGCCTGAATACCAGGGCTCGTTCTGATGTTTCCAGCTAAGCCCTTCCTAGTGACCATAAGGTAAATAGCGTCGGCCGGCTCAGAATCACTCTCAAAATCAAGAAAGCAAAAGCAGGAGGGGACACAGAAGGCTCCCCGTGCGTGTATAGCACTGAATGTTCTGGAACCCGTCCACACAACCACTGGCCCAGGCTCCTGCAGCCATAGCTGCTGGGCCCTCCCTGGCTGGGCCCACGGGCAGCTGGGGGTTCTTTCCCCAAGGCAAAGGCCTTCGTGCCCCGGCTCTTTGACCCAACATCTTTGCAAGGGACCCCACACTCCTCAGTACCTGGCCGAGGAATGGCCCAGCTCTGGCCCCCAGGGCAGACCCCCCCAGGCCCTCACCTCCCCTACTTGGTGGACTCTGGCCAGACAGCCTAGGGCCCTCCCACTGTCCCCCCTGGCCAGGACTGTGCTCCCTAAGAGATCCTCCATGGGGACGTGGCTGACACCACGTTGTTCTGGAACATTCAGTCTCATGCACGCAGCTGACCGTGTGCTGGAGGGGACAGAACCCACCCCAGCCCCACAGAGCTGCTTGTCCACAAGCTGGGGACTCCCCCCACACCACCCGGGGGCATCCCCGAGCACCAAGGAAGGATGGGCACCAGGCAGAGCAGCAGGTGGTGCGGGTCTCTGCTTCCCGAAAAATTCTTCCAGAAGGAAGGCAGCTTGGGCACTAGACCTGGCGTGTGGCCCCTCACCACCACCCCCAGGCCAAGGGACGCCATGAGGGACACCCCCTCTTCAGGGCCCAGGGTCTTCATCACCTGGGGCCCGCCTGGCACCGCTTCAGCCGCGTCCTGGGCAGAGCAGCTGTGCCCGTTTGCAGTGACGTCACGAGACAGTGTGGTATTCGGAGACGGAGGCGGAGGGGCCCTGAGCAGGGGACACCCAGCAGGACGGACCCCAGCAGAGGCCACCGCGTGAAGCCACAGCCTGCTGACGCGGTCGGTTCCTGGCCACGGTCACCACCCAACCTCAGGGACACCCCGCTGTGCTGAGCTTCCCCCCCTCGGGGCTATGCCCACCCTACGTGAGTTCCTTCCCGGCACTGTGGATCCTGAAGGCTGGCGGCCACCCCCACCCCCACCTGCTGTCCTGCTTTCTGCTCGCCCTTGAGGCTAATTTCTGTTTCTTGGCCTGTCACAGACTCACTGAAACCAAGAAAATCCCTCTCTCCCGAGGCTGCCGGGAAATGGACTGTCCGGTGCAGGAAGGTAAATTTCTTGAGCGCAAACACCAGGAAAGTCTTAGAAATAGGCCGCCGGGCTTTGAAAAGCCTGTTCCCAAGACACGGGCACTTTGGAGCGAATGTCTGCAGAGGAACGGAGAGGCGCTGTGTGGGGAGGGGGTGGAGGAGGGCTCCGGGTGCCAAAGCCTAACCCAGAGGCCACAGCTGGAACCCAGAGACAGGCCCAGGGGGAGACTCCTGGAGAGCTTCTCGCCTGATGACAACTGTCACACAAACACAGGCACGCACACACATGTACACACATGCATGCATATACACATGCATGCACGCAAAGGCACACACACATTCACATACACACACTCACATATACACACTCACACACATGCACGCACACACTCACACACATTCACACATCCACACACACTCACACATACACTCAGACACACACACGCATGCACACACATGTACACACAAACACGCACATTCACACATACTCACACACATTCACACACACTCACACACACTCACATATACACATTCACACATACTCACAGTCACTCACACACACTCACACACATGCATGCACACACTCACACACGTTCACACATACACAAAATCACATATACACTCACAGATACACACGCACACACGTACACACAAACACAGCACACTGACACACATGTATGCACACACTCACACACATGTATGCACACACACATTCACACATACACGCACTCACGCACATTCACACATAATTATACACACACTCACACAACACACTGGCACGCACACACACTCACACACATGCCTGCACACACTCACACACACATTTACACATACACACACGCTGACACATACACTCACAGACACACACACGCACACACACACGTACACACAAACACACTCACATACATTCACACATACACACTCACTCACATTCACACATACTTATACACACACACATAAACACTGGCACACACACCCACACACACACTCACACACGCACACGAGACAGGCCAGCCAGCTGTTGCTTTCTCAAACTGGAAACATGAGAGGCGACGCAGAGCCTGGCCGGCCGCTGGCCAGGGGAGAGGCACCGCGAGCACCAGCGCTTACTCTCCTGAGGGAGCTCCGGACGGCCCGGAAGAGAACCGGGCTCAGCGACTGCTCGTTGACCTTGGCCACCGAGGCCCCCAGGGCGTCCCTCAGGGAGGCCGGATCGAAGTCGTACACGGGGAAGCCTGGACAGGAGCACAGGGGGCACAGTGAGACCGGGCATGGGGGGTGCGGGGGCACACGGCGGGCACCTTCCCACACCACCAGACTCTTACCTGCCACCCCGCCGCTCATGCCCAGGACAAACAGGAGCCACATCGTCAGCACAGCCAGATCCATTCTGGGAAGAAGAGTTTGCCTCTGCCTTGGGCACAGGGGACCGTCCAGACCCAGAGACCGTCTCTGCCGTGGGCTCGGAGAGCTGTCCCCCGGGAGCACCCTTTCTCAGCGGGAGCCTGGCTTCTGCCCTCTCTCTCTTCCTCTTTCTCTCTCCCTCTGTCTCTCTCCCTCTCTCCCTCTCTCTCTCCCCCTCCCCTCTCTCTTTAAACAGAACCCATTGATCCCGGGTCAGTGTTTCCTGCCAGCGGTCCCGGTGGAAAGGCTCCAGTGTGAGGCCACTTGAAAGTTTTGGCCTCAGCTGGGGACTTCGGCCTCCCAGAGGACAGGGGGCAGAGGACAGGGACCAGCGGCTCTTCACTGCCTCCTTTCAACTGCCTCTTCTTGCTTTTTCCCTCTCACTGCACAGGGCCGAGGGGAGATTTTGTTATTTGCCACCAAACAACTCCCTCTGTGACCACCGGAACTCTGGGAGCTGACCCAGGGGGCTGAGCTTTTGCATCTAGTCGTCCCGGGTTCGATTCCTGGCACCGCTTGGGCTCTCGTAGCATCGCTTCTCCAAACAGACAACTAGGTAGGATGAAGAGATACAGGCAAGGACGGCGCTTGCTTGCACGTGGCTGACCCAGGTTCAAATCCACAGCACCGCATCGGGTCCTCCAAGCTCCACCAGGACCTTGAGCACAGAGCCGGGAGCAAGCCCTGAGCACCGCTAAGTGTGGCCCTAGAACCAAAGGAAGAGAGTGTGGTAAGCGGCGTTGGTGTCTCACGCAGGTTCCACGCAGGTCTCTCAGATCTGGCTGCTGCTTCTGCTCAATCAGCAGCTCTGGAGACTCTGCTGGAGTGTCAGCTTCAGTCAGGCGAGCTGTGACCTGGGCGTCCCTCACGGCGGAACCTAGGCCGTGCCCTAGATGGGCCCTGGCGGTGAGACGGAGCGTGAGACACACGTCAGGACTCTCGGACTCAGAGACGCACGGAGAGAGATGGTCCATGCTGCCCAGACTCATAGGCAGAGAGACGATGGAAGGGCTTCACTTGGAGAAACCAGCCGGCGGACACTGAAGGCTTCGTCAGGCCAGGGCTCGACGCCCAGGACATTTGGGTGCAAGGCTGTCTGCCAGAAGAACCCCTTCCTGCTCTCGGGGGTCAGCTTGTCCACTCCATCTCCAATCCATCGGATGAGACCCCTCCACCCTCCTACCCACCCCAACACGCGCATTATGGCATGTCCTCTGCCTTATTCAAAGTCTATGGGCTTCAATGTTCATCTTGTCTGAAAAGAACCTTCGCAGAAACATCCAGAGTGATACGGGACCACGGACCTGAGCCCCAAGACCTGGAAGACACAATGAAACTGGGATTAAGCGGCAGGGCCTGGATGTGCCTGTGGATGAACTTACTGCTAAATGGGAAACACTGGAGATGGGGAGATGATGTGGACAGACGACCCGGCATGAGCAGGAGTTAGCCCTGAGCATCACTGAGTGTTGACCTGGGTTTGATTCCCAGAGTCCCATAGGGTCCCCCAAGCACCGCCAGGAGTGATTCCTGAGTGCAGAGCCAGGAGTAAGCCCTGAGCATTGCCGGGTGGGACCCAAAAAGCAAAATAATAATAATAATAATAATAATAATAATAGTATTAAAAAAGTATCATTTAAAAAATTAAAAGTATCATTAAAAAACGTTCTGAACTGCTGGTCAGAACTCAGCTCAACAAATGCCTTTCCCGTCTGCTGCGGATGAGGCAATGGGCCCAGAGACTCTTGACTGTACTGATAACCCAGCCCTGTGGCATAAGCAAGGCAGCTCTGAGAAGCGAGGAGGCTAGAGGGGGCGGGAGAAGCTTCCGGAAGGCAGGGACACTGGCAGTTCTCTGCTTCCTCCCAACCGCACCTCCTGGGTCCCTCCTTGAAGGGTCAAACTCCCTCGGGAGGGATGGAGACTTAGGCAGGGAAGTCACACAAGCAAGGAAGTTGAAGGAAGGGGGGAAGGAAAGGAGGAAGGGGACTATGGCCATTTCCCCGAGGAGGGGGTGGGGTGCTCCCTGCTGGGGCAGGTCCAGCAAACAGAAGGAAGGAGAGGGGAGAGGAGGGGGAGGAGGAAAAGGAGGAGGGGGAAAGGAGGAGGGAGAGAAGGTGGAGGGGAAAGCAGAAAGTGGGAAGGAGGAGGAGAGGGAAGGAGGGAGCGAAGAAAGAGAGGGGAGAGACTGAGAGGGGAGGAAGGGAACCGTGGGGAGGAGGTGGAGGGAGAAGGCTGTTGGGTGGATTTAACAGGGTAGGGGTCGCCAACGGAAGAGAACCATGCAACACAGAAAGGATGCTGCTTGAGTGGGTGAATGAGTAGGAGAATGAATGAATGAATGAATGAATGAATAAGTCAATGAATGGATGAATGAAAAATCAGTCAATGGGTGAATAAGTGAGGGAGGGAATGGGAGATTGAGTGAGAAGTGAGTGAGTGGATGAGAGAAGGAGTGAATGAAGGAGAGGATGAGTCCAGGCGGGGATGGATGGTTGAATACATGAATGGGTGAATGAATGAGTGGGTGAATGAATGAATGAATGAACGAATGGGAGAGTGAATGAATGCATGGGCAAGTGACACCCCAGAAGGTTCTACCTGAGCCTTCTCCGTCTTTCTGTTCGGAGCCTGTGCTCATTCCCGAGGCAGAGTGGTGCGGGCTGAGGTGACGGCCACTCGCATTTGTGATTCTGTTACTCTAGACCCACTTGGAACTCCATTCCATTAAGAGCCTTCCACACTGAAACAGCACCATCTGCTCCGAGCTCCCGGGTCTCGTGGAGATGAAGAGTGATAATAGAAAACCATCGACGAGGAGTGGAGGAGATTAGGGAGGCAACAATAACGTGAGGCTGCCAGCGTAGTTATTCATTTTGTTTGTACTTGTGGTGCGAGCCTGGCATGCTCCATCTCTCGAGTCACTTGGCTACACTACGCCTTGGCAGCGGGCAGGCAGAGGAGATGCCACACGGCGCTGAGCTGCAGTGATCTAAACTGGTCTCTGTAGAGCTGCCGTGCCTGGGGGCCAAGAAGGTCCCATAATCAGCCCTCAGGGGTGTGTGGGCCCTCACGTGCCCCGCAAGACGCTCTTTCAGTCTTCAGAAAACTGCACATCATTTGTTTCTGCAGTTTCCTGATGATTCAACATACACTTAGTTGTCACTGTCACTGTCCTCCCGTTGTTCATCGATTTGCCCAAGCGGGCCCGGTAACGTCTCCATCGTGAGACTTGTTGTTACTGTGTTTGGCATATCGAATACGTCATGGGGAGCTTACCAGGCTTTGCCATGCGGGATACACTGGGCCGGAGCGATAGCATAGCGGGTAGGGCATTTGCCTTGCATGCAGCTGACCTGGGTTTGATTCCTCTCCGCCCCTCTCATAGAGCCTGGCAAGCTACTGAGAGTATCTCGCTCGCACGGCAAAGCCTGGCAAGCTACCTGTGATATATTTGATATGACAAACACAGTAACAAGTCTCACAATGTTACTGGGCCCGCTCGAGCAAATCGATGAACAACAGGACAGTGACAGTGACAGATACACTTCGTTAAGATATCAAAAATACATGGCACTAATTAAATAGACTTCTCTTAACGATGCCTGGAAGTCTGTATAGAATTCAACACCGTTTAAGAAGCAAGGAGTAATTTTGACTAAAACAGGGGGATGTCCTGGTCATTCACTGCCATTATTGCCATCATTTCTCTTGAGATGACTCAAAAAAGAATCACTAAACTTATCAAATTGAATCCCCCTTCAATCCATCAACCACAGAGTCGATCACTTTCTTCCAATTTCTTGCAAACCAATTCTTGCACTCCACCCTTACGATGGAGGATCACCCATCCATCCGCTTATCCATTCATTCCAAACCCTGACTGTGACCACACCTATGTGTGAGCCCAGCCCCTCATGGTCTGGGGATTTAACTAGACTGTACGAGTGGACTAGAGAGAGAAGATCCGGATCGAGATCCAAAGTCAGAGCCAGAAGAAGAAAGGGGTTCCAGATCGGGCCTGGGAGAGAAGGGGAGAGAGAGAGAGAGAAAGAGAGAGAGAGAGAGAGAGAGAGAGAGAGAGAGAGAGAGAGAGAGAGGAGTGAACAGGGATGAGAATGGAATAAACAGCATCTGATCAATCAATTGGTTTGGCCCTTCGTTTCCTCCTCCCTCTGTCCAGAGCCCGGACTGCCCCGGCTTGGGGGGGGGGGCGGCCCAGGCCCCTCAGAACCTGGGCAGTCAGGGGAAGAGCCATCGGGGCCACCCCTTGGCCACCCTCGAAGTTTTTTATAAATCAACACTCGTCTTTCTCCTCCACTCAATCCCCTCGAGTTTCTCCCATTTTGCTGCAAATGGTGACCATGTCCCCTTTCGTGGTGACTGAGCAGTCAGACATAAACCACCTTGCATGGCCTTGACCCACTCACCTCCGGGCAGGCCGTGTTCACTTCAGTGTGTCCCCGAGCCCAGCCCCTGAGCACAACTGGCTTTTACCTCCATGTCTAGGCAGCGAATATGCACCCTGAAAGGGAAAAGGAGAGTTCAGGGCTCAGAACCCCCTTGAGGGGAATCTGCAGGCGTCTCCTTTCTCAATCTGTGCTCCCAGATGTTCGTGAGCACCGCGGTGAGCCTGGAGAGCGGCGCTGAAGGCAGCACACTCATTAAAACGTCAACTGGAGGACGCGCTCGCAAGTTGGGCCACTCAATGCACCCAAAGGCTGATCTAGAGGCTCCGGGATGTTTGCAGTTGCTCTGTGACGCCCAGCAATGATGAGAAATATTGACCTCTTCTCTACCCGCTCAGCTATGGGCATTCTTGGAGAAGAGAAAAACAAAATTTACGAGTTAACAGAGTCTGATTAGGAGATCAAGGTGAATGACCGGTTCAGGAAGTAGGGCACGAAGAAAGAGGTTACCAATAAACACAGAGGAATGGGAGCACTGTGATGGGAGCAACCCAAATGAACCTAAGCTCCCTGTGGCCAGGCAGAAAGGACAAATGAATGTTATCCTACACTCTCAGAACAGGCATCTCTCAAGCACACATTTGTCTGAAGGGGCGCAGGGGGTGAGGGGAGCAGGGGTGAGTGTGGCTGTCCTCCTGCTGCCTCCTTCCAGATGGGGCAGCCCTCTCCTGCCCTGGGATGAGGCAGAGACCCCCTTTGCCTTC